CGCTGCTAAAGTAGGGACGGCTAGCGCAGATAGCCCTCGTGTAGCTTTGCGCGAAATTCAAAAACAAAAAATACAAGGACAACAGTTCCCAGCGCCCGTTTCTATAGTTTGATCGCACAGAAGCCCAAAGGTGACTTTATCAGCATATCTTCGTAAAGAAGAACAGGAATATCTGTTTCATTCTTCAGTTGTTTGAGGTATGCGACGGTTGAACAAATATGTCGTGGAAGCAGATTCCGTACAACTGAGTTGTTTCGCTTATGTTGAAACGTGTGGATGGTTTTTGCCACTGACATTTGTGTTCTTAGATTCCCACCTGTTACAAAGACTCCGGAATGTGCTTACCACAATTGGATTATAACTAGTTGCAGGTCTAATTCTGAATAGCCCTGGTTCCCCAAGTTGATCCATATTTTTTTTTCTTTTTCAATGACACTAAGTACAAGGGATATTCCCATCTTGGAAATTTTATCTGAACATATCTTTATGATCTGAGTGTATGAATATTCTGCGTCAGAAAGGATTGTTACACACACCCTTTCGAATAACGATCGCTTTTCTGTATAATCACAATAACTACGACACACCAAACAATGTAAAAATTCAGTACTGATACATGCCGTGCTCAATCCTTTGTATACGACTGTTCATTGTGAAAGTGGTCAGCGACATTGCAATTAGTTGTTCCATCTGTACTCTTTAAATAATATTTTAGTCTAAGGTTTGTTAGTTTATTAGAATAATAACAATGTGTTTTTATATTCATGAACACACAACGTGTTGGTGTATAGTTTAATGCAGTGTTTCTCAACCAGGGCGATACCACCCCTAGCGAGTGCTTTCAAAATTCGGTGAGAAGAGTAAACTTTGAGGGGGGTGTCAGGAGCGGACAGAAAAGTTGAGAGTTTCAAAGTTATATTTGTTAAAATTAAACAATAAGAATTGACTATTATTGCGTAACATTTTTCATTTTAGTAAAATATTTTATAACTCTAAAAATTTGTTAGAAAGGGGCACGAGCGCTCATTATTTGCTGAAGGGGTGCTGCTGTGAAAAAGGTTGGGAAACACTGGTGTGATGTGTTATATTCCATTCTAAGTCTGATCTGTTACAGTTCTGGACTTTAAATTGCACAATGATAATCTATACTCTCTGATCAGCATACAATATGTTTGATACTTTTTTACTATGATATAGGTTAACTTGTGTTAAGGGTTACTGATGAGGAGTGGAATTCTCCGAAACTAGTATCACCCAATAACACAAGTTGATCAAATTGTAGATTGAACTGGACCTCCCTTGAACTTAGACTTCGAAATTTAAAAAAATTGGAATACTAAGTTTATTTATTAACTTCATTGAGCTCTTCAAAAGAGGCACGCGTCTTTTCGTGGTGCCTAGTTATATGTAGAAATATAAAAGGCATTGGTAGATACATGTAGTTTTTGTTGTGTTTTTTCGAACAGCCAGATATGATTTCAGCTCTACCTAGCATTTTCTAATATAAACGGTATTATAATAAACAAAAGTGTATCATTTAATGTGTTGCATAGGCGGGAGTCAGTTTACAATATATAGTAGTAGCTGTACATAATTTCAAGAGGTCTTAACATGTATTTGGCATTCGTGACTTAACTACTATCTCATGTTTAGCTGAATCTATTTAAGTAATTCTGTTAAGTTGGTATGTTTATATTATGTTTTATTATATATATGTTAACGTTTAATATATTGAAGCAAGAAACACACTTCAACATAAAATGTTGGCATCAGTTCTAACATACAATTTTTCGTTCATTTTTGGACTTGCCTCAGTATGTCGCACAAAAGTTTCGAATGGATGAAACTTGACTAGAATTACCGGTTATCTTATAATTTCCTCCGGCTAGTTAGATGAGTTCGTGACCAACCGTTACTGTTGCTCTCCGACTTTACAAGTCAAAAATGAAGACCTCGTGTCTTGTTTTGTAACTCGGTATAAGAAACAACAGGTTTAACGTTCGAGAAAACTAGAACAGCTTTTCGTGACTGTTCCATTGTAAAAGTAAACACGTTATTTCTGTGGAAAAAAAAATACTCGTTTTATTTTATTTATTTTACAAACGAGTGTAATTTTTTTTTTACCTAATCATTAGAGGAACCTAGTGGTTAGGGTGCTCGACTCGCACTCTATGGGATGTGGGTTCGAATCTCATTACCAAACATGCTAGAATTTTCAGCTGTTATAATGCGACGGTCGATCCCACTTTTCTTTCGTAAAGAATATCCTTCTAGTTTATCACTTCTAGATTAGGGACATCTAGCGTAGATAGCCCTTGAATAACGAAATGTAACAAATTCTATGTCTAGTTCGAAACGGTTCACACAAAAATCTAATGAAGAAACTGAACAGTCGAGTTGCGAAAGTTTGTGGTCATTATGTGTTCTCATCAGTATGTGTTGAAGTTCTGTGAAATACTTGCAGAAGCTTTGATGAAAATATCTAGTAATTTTCACATTATTTGGCCTTATTACGTAGGTAGTTGGATTCCACGGAAATTGATTGCTTTTCAGAAGAGTACGTAACAGCCCGCAAAATGATTATAAACTTTAATTATAAAGATGTGTTTAAATTGGGGATCTAGAATTTCCAAGAACGGGGGTATTCTTTTTACTTAATAGAATTTGAAAATAAATAAATATAGATCAACTTGGAGTACCAGGACTATCAAAAATACAGTCCTGCAACATGTCGTACTCAAGCCATGGTAAGCTAAGTCTTGTAACAGGTGAGAATCCATGAGTGAAAGATTAGTGGCAAAAGCCGTCCACGTGTCCTAGGCGACAGTACACGACTTAATCAAGAAGGATTTCCACCTTAAAACAAGTACAATGATCATATCTACCATTCTTATTCGATCATGAAACCAGACAATATGTTGCGAGTAAAAATATATCACTATACTCTCTGTAAATGTGAAAATATATCACTCTCTGTAAATGTGAAAATCATTTGTTCAGAAGAATACTTACAATGATGTTTACAACATATGTGATTTATTTCAGCACTAAATTATCTTAGACAAAAACGATGGCTTATTCATGCGGAGTGGTTAGCATGCCGTACTCTGGATCTGAGAGTACATGGTTCGCAACATGTTGCTACAAAATAATAATAGTAATAATAGTAATAAAATCGTGCATCGCACTTTGGGGCTGAGAGTGCGTAATAAAAGTAACTGTCAAATCTCACTATTCGATTAAAGGAGCCCAACAGTTGGCGGTGGATGCTGTTTTTCCTCTATGGTAATGCTACTCAGATAGTCTTTGTG